AGGAGGCTTCATAATCCCTGACTTCATATTATGCTAGAAATCTACTGTGATAAAACAGCAGGGTACTGGCAAAGAAACAGACCTCAGAATCAATAAAAAAGTTTAGGAGATGCGGACACAACTACAAACACATTCAGTCACTTTATCTTTGACAAAGGAGCCAAATATGTTCACTGGAAGAAAGTTAGCCACTTTAATAAATGGTGCTGGAAAAACTGGCTTAGCACTTGCAGAAGAGTAAAACTAGACCCATGTCTATCAACCATGCACTAAACTACAGTCAAAATAGATCAAAGACTGAAATACTAGAACAGAAACGCTAAATCTTGTGTAGGAAAAAGTAGGTTAAAAAATCTTAAAGACATAGAAGTAGAGAGCTCATGAATATAAATGAAATCACAAAGGAAATACTTCAAAGAATCAACAACTGGGATCTCATCTTTTTGGAAAGTTTCTATACATCAAAAGAAATCATCAACAGCACAAAAAGAAAACCTACAAATTAGGCAAAATTTTTGCTGACTGATCCTCAGACAAAGGTCATCTATCTAGTGCTTTCCAGGCAGGTGCTTGTGCCACTGAGCTATATCTTTGGTCCCAGAACTTCTATCTAGAATATACAAAGAATTTTTTAAAGAGAAGGTCCCCAAATTCAGAGACCTAATCCAAAATTGTGCATCTGAGATGAATACACACTTCTCAGATGAAGAAATACAACTGTCAAGTAAATGTACGAATAAATGTTCAACATCATTTGTCATTTGAGAAATGCAAATTAAAACAACATCAAGATTCTGTCTTACCCCAGAAAGAATGGCTATCATCAGAAGTCAATCAATAACAAATGCTAGAGGGGATGCAGGGGTAAAAATGAATGCCTCTCCACTGTTGGTGGAAGTGTAGACTAGTACAACCACTGTAGAAATCAGTGTGGAGATTCCTCAAGAAACTAGAATTTGAGGTTCCATTCATCCCAGCTATTCCCCTCCTGGGTATTTTTTCAGAAGAACTGAAATCATCATACCACAGTGATACATGTGCAACCATGTTACAGTAGCATAATTTGTCATAGTTAAATCTTCAGGACAACCCTAATGCCCATCAGCTGCAGAATGGATAAAGAATATGTGGTGTTTTTACACAATGGAGTATTACTCAGCTATAAAGAAAGATAAAAATGAGGTTTTTATAGGTTAATTGATGCAACTAGATATGATTCTCATAAGTGAAATAAATCAGATCCACATATGCAAACCTTATATTGTTTCACTAGTGTAAGAACCTGAAAGAGTAAATGAAATCTGAAAGCTACAATAGATACTATGAAAGGAAAAGAACCAGTTCAAAGGGAATGAAAAGCTGGAATCAGGAAAAGGATAGAAGAGGGAGAGAAGAAGGAGAAAGATATATGTATGCAGGTAGGTAGGTATGAAGGATAGCTTGGAAAATTGTACTGTGACTTTTGCTGGTCTACAGAGGGGAGCAGTTGATGCTTAAATTTTTCCTTCCTTTTTTCTTATCATTTTTAATTTCATAACTTTTTTCCCTTTTTTCCCAATTTTTCATGCTTATATCTGGTGATCTGAACAGCTAATTTGAAGTCAACATTATACAACACAGCAACAATTTTCAAATTCCTATTGATTTGTCTGGTGAAGTTCTGTTTCATTTCTAATTTTTTTTACTATTTTGTATTTTCTTTAGATAATATAAAAATTAAAGAAATATACAATAAGAAAATAACCAATTCTTCAAAAATATATAAAAATATTCACTTTCTTTTCTTTAGAATAAAACCTTGATATCAGCCTAAATGCCCAGTGATAGATAACCAAATATTTTTCAGCAATTAAAATTATTTTATAGTTATGTTTAATAACACACAAAATATTGACATAATGATTTTTAATTTGAGAAAAGGCAGAAATATAGTATGATCCCACTTTGGAAATAAGTTATATATGTGTAAATGCACTTACATAGAAAAACATGCTGAGAGGACAGCTCTACAAGATTACTCTTTTTTGTTATGTTTTTTAGATTATTTAAAAACAAATATATCTTAATTTCATGACTAAATAAGAAAGCAATAAAGATAATGTCATTTTGAAAATATAAAAGTTGGAAAAAGCAAGATACAACAGGACTCAGAAGTATCTTGGCATGCACAGCACAGGAATGCCTTTACATATAAAAATGAGCTTTCAAACTAGAGCTACACTTCTAAATCCATTTATCACCCAAATAAAATATATCAAATGGTTTATAATGTTTTAGCTGAAGATGAGAAGGAAATTCCCATATACTTGGCTTCCTGCAGGAATGACATTCTTTAAAGTAGTATTACAATGATGGCGCTAATAATAGACCTATTAATTTAATCCGAGAAAATGATGTTTTATCCTTTATAAGACTTTAAAGATACATTATCCTATTAGCATGCACAAGTGATTCTACATTAAGTACCCAGAGGCACTCAGAACTCAGAATGAGGCTGAATTTCTATGAAAGTGTGAGAGTGAAATCTGTCTGAGCAGTTGTCCTGCTCAGGCCCTGCCTGGCTGTGGACGTACGACCTAGAGCCTGCAGGGTGGCAGTTGGGAGACTCTGAACCAGGCTCACACGAATTCAGAGCAGGGAACCACAAAGACTATTTTGGAATATTTTGCTGAGTTCACACACCTATAATATTTAAATGATGGAACTAAACAAGAAAAGGGGATATAAATGAACGACCATTTTGTATCTGTATATTCAAAATGGTTAGGATAGATATTTGGCTACATTCTCTTAATTCAAGGAATAGAGGGATTTGGTCTAATAGTGTTTGTAAATAGGATATCATGTCTGCACCTTGTACAACAAATAACCACTAGGAAGGCAGTACATAATGTGTTAATTATTGGAACTGTCCTACCAATTTAATTTGAAACTGTCTCATTGCTATTTATTTCTCAATAAAATTATGGAGAAAAGAAGGAGAATGGAAACCATGCTCCTGTTGGATATAATCACATGTGTTATTTCTTTTTCTTCTCATTTGTTGAAATGAAATTGGGTTGTTGGGGGAGATTGACCTTAAGACTTAGTTGACATAAATCTCAATTCAAAATTATCAGCATGATGCAAGACAAAGCAAATCTACTTCATCTTCTGCTAGAAAATGTTTTCCTAGTAACTAAAAAAATGACTGTAACTATTCAAATTATAGTGCCATCCTCTGTCATTTAGAAGGAAGTCAGGTGTTTTTGTTTAAATTTCAGCTTTGGTGAGGTTTTTATTCTTCTGGAGGATTTGTACTTCTTGTTAGTCAGTTATACTCTTTCAATCACACTCTTCTCTCCATGCCTGCAAAACTGACCTTTTCCCCTCCCTTTGTTTTGCTTGTGATGTGTGATTTGCCTCTGAACTGTTTTCCTGTATTAGCAACTCTACAATGACAGTGCAGGCTCTCTTGGTGCTTGCCCTAAGGCCTATGGAGCAACATATTAGTGAGTGATGATACCTCAAAGTGACCAAATGTTGTCTAATTTTAACATGTAATGACAATTTTAAAGCTAACACATGGAGGTTAGATAAAAAGTTCACAACTGATAATAAAAAGTAATGGAAAATTAAAGCAAGAACATAAAATCCTTGATTGACCTTTCTTAAATTTCACAAATACCAGAACTTCTCTGTGTCCATTGGCTAAAGAGGTTCCACTTTAATGTGGGCTCTGTCTCTACCACATATAAAGGATGAGTTAGTTTCTAAAGAGCAGAAATGTCTTAAAGTGGCTCTTCCTGTGCTGGAGATCATAAAGACAGTTTCACAAAATATGCAAGGGTTTAATTCAACTTTAACTTTCAGTGTGCTTGTTGATCAGCTCCAAGAATAGCAAAGAAGTTTCCCAACTGTTTCAAGCTCTGCCCACCACAGCCTCCGGAACCTTTTCTCCTGCTCTCAAGGTGTGTGAGCATCTCTCTTCATGATGCCATCGGGGTCCTCCAGCCCTCTAGGTAACAGCATTAGAAGAGCTAGATAAGCTAAATATACTAGGATAAAATCACAACTACAACTGATCTTATTTAATTCTCTTGCCAACTGAAAAGTCTCCCTCTGCATTTCTTCCATAGATTAGGAAACTAGCCTCCAAAGGGTAAAGTAACTTGTTCGGTCTGTGCTCATCCAGGCTACCACAGGGAAACTTAAATAAGGCCCAAACTTTTAAGCCAACACTCTTTCTGTGTTACCTCTCTATATTCTCATAGAATCCAAACTTGATCCCCTCCAGAGCATGTAGAAGACAGCAAATCCTGTCTCTCTGGATGAATTTCAAGTAGAGAAATTCCACAAATTAGACTCAACACAAACGTGTCCTAACTCAGTCATTAACATGTTAGGTCTTTCTGCTTCCCCAATACAACCTTCCTCTACACAGAGCTTAAAAAACCTAACATCCACCTACAATCAGATCCCACCCAGGAAGTAGACTATGTCCCCTCTTACAGTAACAATAAACACTATTTCACAAATGATAAAACTGAAGTAGGAGCATGCAGCATCTGAAGTGCGAAGCAGCGCTATAAGTCTAGCATCCAGATTTTTGTCCAATATAACCAGACTGGGCAGAGGAAAGAATCTATGCAAAATATTAACCTTATGCTAATAGGTTAAGGAAATGAATACAAATCTGTGCCTACAAATATAACCTTCAGTGCAATACTAAAATTGAAAAGCATATAATATTAAGAAATAAACTGTGGAAGAAATTCTTTTTAAAATGTCACTACTGGCTACCACAGAGATAAGCATTATATATCAAACTTTATATTTTCTTAATATTTTTCTGAATTTTCAAACTTTTCTGCAATAAACCATACTAGTTTCACCAATAAAAATGAAGGAATGTTATAAAATATGTAAATGTGTTTATAATAGTAAACATCTGCATTGACAGAGGTTCATGGATTCCTAAAGCTAGAAAAAGTAATAGGAATCCAAAATAGTGTACTTACCCACCAACTGTGGGAGAGAGGAGGCCTCATGGTCAAGCATGATCGACCCCTTCTCCATACATGTCCTTAGCTCAAATAAGCTGTGTAGGGATAATGTGGCCACATGGGGCTTGCTCCATCTTTCTCCACCTTGTTCCACTTTCTCTTCAAACTTAATCCACCTAAAAGATAAAATTAGCGAATGGAAATTATAACTGTCCTAACCTCCTCTAGAAAAAGCAATGTCCATTCTTCCATCTTCATTCTTACAGAACTCCAAAAATCTCCTCTCATAAGGTCTTAGTAGCTTATTGTATTAGTAATTACATTATCTTCAAGAATATACCCAAACAGAGACACTTCTTACCCAAGTTAGGGAGATAAAAAGCAAACAGGAGAAGAAAAGCATCTCTGTGTTTATATGTACCTAAAAGTAACTATGTAATCCCTATGAATGGTTACTGAACTGAGTTTTTAATGTGTGGTACAAAAAATATTCAAATCAAACTTGTCCATTCTCCTACAATGTAGAAAAATAGTCATCACTGTGACAATTCTGTGATTATTTCACATGGTGGATTTACATTTGGTGAGATATCAGTGATGAAGCAGTACTTATTTCAAATATATGTAAACCATGATGCATGAAGTGATAAAATCAAAATTCCCCTTATGATATTTAAAGGAGGTAACCCAGTTTGAAAGTGTTTGTGTTTAAAATATATTTTTCATCTGACACATGGTCTCTTCTCATGGACATTCTAATAAAAACTTTATCATTTAAGTCTTGTTCCATATATGTTTTTAAAAACTACATGCTGTATCTGTGTATTCGAAGTGGTTAGGATAGATATATAGTTACATTCTCTTAATGAATAGAGTGATTTGTTCTAATGGTGTTTATAGATAGGATATCATGTCCGCATCTTGTACAGCAATTAACCACTGGGAGGAATGTATGCAATGTGTTAATTATTGAAACTGTCCTACCAATTTGATTTGAAACTGTCTCATTGCTATTTGTTTATCAATAAAATTATGGAAAAAAGGGCTATTGTTGAAACATAAAAAATAAATAAAAAATAAAAACCACATGCTCAGTGAACATCTATTCTAATAGCAACAGATTTTATATATTGGCCCCGCTCCCAGGGAACACTGAGACAAAAATTGAGTCTGGGTGTGGTGGCACGTGCCCGTAATCCCAGCTCTTGGGAGACTATAAACTGGTAGACAGCTACAAGTCTGATCTAGTAGTGAGACCCTGAACACCCTTAGATGCTTCCCTAAAAAATACAAAGAAAATAAAAGATTTGTATTAACTTTAGCAATGGAACAAACAACCCTCTTCCATAGCTTCTGCTCCTAAGACTCCTAGACATTTTAGTAACTCAGTATATATAGATAAAAAAAAACTTTGATGAAAAAAACACGTGTGACAGACTTTATATCCCACATATATTACACACAGACTCCCACACAGTAAAGGAAAAGAGAAAGTTGCATCATTTACTATGTATCACAACCTAAATGAGAGTGCTTCCTTCTGCTCACTCCAAGCCTTCTGAACGATATTAGAAGAGACAAAGAGGAAGTTAAAATTTGTTTTCTCTACATTTTTCACTTAAGATTTAATGACTGAAAATATTGCTAGGGAAATAGCTCAGCAGCATAAGCGTCTGCTTGGCAAGTACAAGGTCCTGAGTTTGATCCCTGGTACAAACAAACAAACAAAAATATTGCTCAAAAAGAGCTAAACACCCACATAACTTGCCAAAGCTGAGAACAAAGGGCAGAGATCAGAGAAAGCACTACATAAGCTATTATTTAAACAACTCTTGCTCAGCCAGGAGGAGGGGAAGAAAGTATGATAGGAGAAGCCAGGCATGCAAACAGATTAAGAGATCAACCAGAGTGGAAGAAAATGAAGATCTAATCAACATTCCTGACTCCTGAGAGTTCTGCCAACCCTAAGACTATGCCTCCACACCATCTCAGGAGTCCTTTCCCTACTGGCCCACTCCACATTAATGGAAGGTGTTCCCAATGTCAACCAATTGTAAGAGCCTCCTTTTTTGCTGAGTCCCCCCTCCCAAACAAAAAGTATAAGCAGTAGAGATTTTTACACTTTTATCTCAAAAGTAAAAAACTAAGGAGGTTTTAAAATCTCACAACTGAACACAATTTATTTCTACCAATGTGGCCGAGACACATTCCAAAAGACAAAAAGAGATTGGGGATCATATTATTCTGACTGCTCACAGAATCCCTAACTGTTTCTTTTGGATTCTGTTATATGAACCATGTGTTCATATAATGTTATATGAACATTATATGACTATGAATCTGATGGTTCATATTCTGTTATATAAACCATTACATATATAAAGCTATATATGATGTCATAACTTATTCTTCAACATCAGACTTCAGAAATGGAAGATTCTACAGTATTTAAAATCCAGTCAGAGTTACATAGCATTATGTCATCTATATATGTAGAGACTCCTTGTTTTTTATTTCTAAGAGTATTCTTATTGTACAATTTAAGCCCAAGATGAATGACAAAGGTCAACTTGAAATTCTTTAAAGTGTAATATTTTATACAGCCCTCATTTCCCAATTATCTTCCTAAATGAGTGCTACCTCTATTGGCACCATTAAATGTACCCCTAAGCCTATTCCTTAGAAAACTAAGTATCACTTGTACACAATATGTATAATTTTCTGCCATTATCCTTACTATGGTCTGAGTATTTGTGGCCCCTGAAATGTATACGTTGAAATCTTAATCTCTCTAAAGTGATGTTACCACAAGGAGGGAGCTTTGAAAGGAGATCTGACCATGAGGGTTGACATTAGTGTCCATACAAAGAAGGCCACAACAAATAGATTGCCCTTTCCACCATAGGAACACACCACCAGAAGGAGCCATTTCTAAGAAAGAGGGCCCTTAGGAGATACTAAATTCTCTGTTGACTTGACCTTGGGCTTCCCAACTCCAAAACCATGAGAAGCAAATTTTTCTCTTACCTACAAAAAATCTACCAGCCTATGATACTTCAATACTACAGCCTAAAGAGACTCAGATAATCCAACTGTCCAAACAAGGTAAGTGTCGAAGCTTTAATTTTAAAAAAAAAAAAAAAGAAGCAAAAATTACTTCATTTCTTTGTAACCTATCTTTTATTTATTCCACTCCATAGTTTATATTATAGGCAAACTGACTAGACTTAAAATACAAATTTTAACACATTTTGAAAATATACTTAAAAGTCATAAATCCAAGTTGGGTTGAATTCATCTTCTTATAGAACACTAACCCTTAGGCTAAGAAAAAACCATAAAAGAATGGAAATGTAAAGTCTCAAAGCTAGTCAGTCACTTAGAAGCCATCATTCTAAGAAATGAATATTCTCTGATAGCACATTTCAGTATCTATTTCACTCTGACTTCACTAAATGTTGAATGCTTTGATGATGCCACATTACAGGGCAGCTACAATCATAGTAAGAACTTTGGGATAGCGCCTATTAAATTCTTTCACAATGTAATGCTCTAATTGTTAAAGGAAAAATTGCATCCCCAACACAAGCACTTAGACAATAAAACAATGGTTCACCCATTTAAATAGATTATTCAATAATAGTGTATTTCCAGAAAATGTATATGCAATGTATATCCTCCTCAAATATCAAGGACAAACTTGAAAAAAACCCTAAATATTACTCAATTCAAATCAAAACCCATTAAAGAGAAGGCTAAGGCAAAGGTACCAAAGTTCATCCTATCCAAGGGCCAGTGAATCTGTGTAGGTGCTTTAGAACCATGTAATTAAGTTTAATTTTAAAAACAGACATGTTTATTTCAGTTTTAATATACTGAAAGCCACTATCTACAATTCATAACAACTATGAATAAGTATGTATTTGCAATACATTTCTCACTTTTCTTCTTGTTTTGATACTTGACATATTACAAGAAAATTAATTTCAAAAGTTGGCTTTTTAAATGCTTGCAATTACAAAACTGCTGCACCCTTGAAGGAGGGGTTTATTAGGTGAACTTTTTTATTCCAAGGTCTTAGAAGAATAATGACAAAGTATGCTGCAGTTTAACACACTTTGAGTGCCTGCCAACCAAGAATCATTTCACTGTTTTCTTAAGAAGCAGAAGGCCCACTGGGAATCACTGAATTTTGCAATTTTCCAATCATATGATTAAATATAATTAAGAAAAGTCAAAATTTGACTTAAAAGTCTGCCAGTTTTACAGTGGAAAATAGACATGACCTTTGTACTGGAATATAATCCAACTAAGTAAAACTATTGAAATGTAACACATTTCTTACAATTAATAAGTACCTCATCACACACGAACATACAATGTAAATGCTAGTGTGTACCTAGAATAAATAATGTTTTTCAGGATAATTCTTAAATTCCTAGAACAACTATGAAAGTAATTGAATGTAATTACTAGATATAACTACATATAATTACATAGGTGATTAGATTCCTTGAGGCTTTTCCTTACAGAAAAAAAAAAAGTGTTCTGAAATAGAGTTTCCCAAAATAATCCAGTAGAGGAGACAGAGAAGTTAATTTGACTGGTAAGAGAACAATCTCTCTCAAAGTGCACAGTGTTAGAGGATGTGCTAGTGTTTTGGAGAACTTCAAATAAGGTTCCCTAGAGGTCAATCAGGTCATTTTTGTCTCAATAGAAACACAAATAGTTGGCCATTTGTGCTATTCCTTTGAACATGAAACTTCAGTACCCTTTACCTCTGTTGGCTTGTGCTTTTTGAAACCTGTGACAACTTTCCATTTCACCCAGGTTTGGCAGAACACTTTGAATTGCACTGGTGAGTGATCTTTGACAGCAACTTTAACTGAAAATTCACCGCAGAAAAACCTAAAGTTCATAATCATATTGCAGCAATATTTCTTACTCAAAGAAATAAAGAATGTGGGGAAGGATAAAAAGTCTCCTCCTCCTGACATTGGGCCAGCACCAAAGCTGGCCCATAAAAGGGTTTTTCACCTAGTGCTTCTTGAACCCCCAGCTGATGTTCATTCTTAAGGAGAAGCTCAGGCTTCCTCAGCAGTTACATAGGGCTCTGTCTTCATTGGCACTGTCTTAGTAGAGGTCACCTTTTCTAATGACTGCACATTCGGATATATTGTACCATTAAAATGAGCTACCTTCCTTACTGTCCCATTGATAGGATACATTTCTCAGGTGTGATAAGTCTATCCTGTGCAACCTTCAACTTGTGTTGCATTTTGAAAAAGCCACTGACAATTCAAACTTCTAACTTACAGGAAAGAGAAGAACAGTAAGAGGATATACAAAAAGAGGGCAGCAACTTAGCAGACTTCTCTTTTTCATAATGTACATGATGAATGATTGTGCTTCCCAAGACTTAAAGTGTATGTCTCTCCTATTACTGAAAAATATCTCATTCTAATTTGAGGTCAAGAGCCAACCTAAAATCCCTACAGCAGGGCAGAAACCACCATTGTGCTATAGAGCTCAGTATAGAATACTCTCGGTCAAATCAAATCATTGGCTGACTGAAAAGTATAGAACCTTAAAAGGGAAACAGGGCTGGGGAGATGGCTCAGTGGAGTAAGTGCTTCTCTGGCAAGCACAAGGGCCTGAGTTCAATTCTCAGTTCTGCCAAAATAAATAAATAAATAAAATAAAAACTGAGATGAATAGACCTTTAAAAAAAAAAACAGAGGAAACAAATGTGTTACCTGCAGGGTAGACACACTGCAAATAAAATGATCAGCCACTGTGGATGTACCTGTGTGATGTCACCTACCTAGTAGCATGAAGTCCTGGGTTAAATCCACAGCACATTTCTAAAAGATGTTTATCAACTGAGTTTTCACAAAAAGAAAATAATTCTATACTTTATAAATTAGCCAGAAATAAATCAATGCCACATCTTCATATACAAAATGAATCCATTCTAAGCACTATTACCAGTGGTAAGTTTAAAGCTTTAAACACGTGGGGGAAAACTCTGCATGTCTGGAAACTAGACCTCAAAATGGAAGTCAGAAGTTACAACATAAATATTCTGATAGCAATCAATTATTCAATTAATGCCTATTTCTTGAGTATTAACTTTCTGCCAAGTAGTTCCATGCACACAAACTGAGTGGTAGATAAACACAACTGAAACTTCCTGACCTCCCAGAGCTTTCACTCTATTAAGAGGAAACAGTAATAAGATATACAAAATGCAAAATGGGGACAAGAGCTAAGGAAGCCACACTACAAGATTAGAATTGTTTATTGAGATAGGGAAATCTGTAGGAGGAGGAGATCTAGACACGTTAATTTTGAGTCTCCTAATGTTTCTCTAAATATTTAACTCAAATAAGCAAAAAAGTTTAAGCTAGAGATATAAATGCAGGTAACATCAGCACACTGATGAAATAGTTTGTAACTTTAAGTACAGGCTCTCTCTACATTTTATCAGTGATGTCCCAGACACCTTGGGCTTGTCATTGCACAGCTATCTAACTACAGAAATACCTAATTATAACAGAACTTCAACTTTGGCTAATTAATATTTCAAATAACCTATTACATTTGGAACATTATTTCCAAGATAGCCAGTTCTCAAGTAATCACGCAATAAGTAAATGCTTACTGAGGACCTCTGAGGAGTCAGGCCCTGACTCCCTGCATGGCACTAGGAATACCACATGAAAAACCAAGCATAGAGTCGTTGACTATGTGAATTAGTGAAATGAAGGAAACCACTGAAAGCAATAATATCATAAACACAATAAACAGTAATGCAGCAAGTTCTATACAAGCAAAATTATAAAGTATACACTATTTGTAAGCAGGTTGTTTTTTTTTCTGGACAGCTTCCTCCTGACACATGGTTCCCTTCCCAGCCCTCCTTTAGTAGCAGTACAGTCTTTTGGGACTGTGTATATCACCAAAATGGCACATGGGTTTCCCCTCCCTAAAATAGTCATTTAAGGATGGTAAAGAATTCACAAATATCATAATTTTTAAGAATCTTTTTTTTAATTTTTAAGAATCTTAAATGAAAATATTATACTCATCTCACTAACACTGGTTTACTTATATGATGAACTATTACTGCATTCTATTCTGAGTACTCCCAGAAATTCAGATGAAAATAAGAATCCAAGCAATTCTTAGCATCACAGCGATGATGCTAGTGTGCACACAGGAAAAAAAAATGATAAAGCAATAGAGTATGCATAGTGTTGGAGAGGATGCAAACCATTTGAAAGAATAGGAAACTTGAACTTGAGAAGACTACACAATGTGGTCCAATTTAAACAACTAATAAGCCACAAAACTAAGACCACAGCAAAATCTCCCCACACTTAAATGACCATGCACGGTACAGGTCTTGCCCTATATTTTCCATCAGGAAAGAAGAAAAGAATGAAGCATGGATCTTAGTAGAAAATTTTGTTTTGGAAAACCTCCTCGGGAGGATGCATTATGGACTAAAAGTATACAGAAGATTGTTGGTACACAAGTGAATAATTCTTACAGAAGGGAATAAAAGACAATTACTGCATCACAGGAAGATATCTGAAGAGCAAAGAATAAAGAGCTTCAAGACAAGAGTATTAGAGATGAAACAGAAATGCACTGCCAAGAGCTTTTTAAGTACAGTATGTAGGTGTCTATTAGAAAGAGAATTACCTAACAAATGGCAAATTATGGGTCTCTTTTCTCAATATTACTATGAAGGCCAAGAATAAAAAATGATGCCTTTTTTCTTTTCAAACCATGGTTGAATTGCAAAAGGTAAGAAATTCTCCACAGATTCCATTAACCTTTTTTTATTTATGTATTTTGTGTAAGGTTTCACTTTTTTTTACATAGCTCAGACTCATAGTGATCCTCCTGTTTTCAACCTCCCCAGAACTGGGATTACAGGCATGCGCCACCATGCCTAGACTCAGTTGCTGGCTCAGTGCATTCTGGGGGCAGGGCCGGCACAGCATGGGGGACCAGGGATTGAACTCTAGTCCCTGTGCTTAGTCTGCTGAGCTCTCTCACTGGCCCTTTCCATTAAACTTTTTAAGGAGAAGTGTCCACAGGGCCCATCTATCTAGAAAATCTTGAAGAGTAAGAGCTTTTCTACCATCATCAAATGCATTAATTTACAAAGTCTAATATTGAAAATACTGAATAGCTAAAAACATTTGGTAATACTAAATCTTGTGGAGTTGACGATCCATAAATCTTCAAACCATAAGTCTGAGACTCCGGACTAAAGCGCATGCTTAGGCAGAGTGCAGCAGTCAAGATTTGATTCCTGGTATGCCCTGCTGGTCCCGCCCCTGGGGTGCACTGAGATGGCAATTGAAACTGAGAGCATTGGCTTGTGCCTGTAATCCCAGCACTTGGGAGGCTTAAAACAGGAAAATCACTATGAGGCAGATCTATGTAGTGAGACCCTGTAGACCCTGTACTAAACTTTAAAAAAGTCTGAGGTTCTAACCTACCAAAAATCTAATCAATTTGATGAAATTTGATTATAAATGGTATAATGCATGAAACTAAAATTTTTCCTTTAACTTTTAAAACATTATTCATTTAGAAAAAAAAGACTACTAGCTAATTGCTTCTTTCGAGTTTAGCTTCTGTTACTGATTATCAATGAGAAAAATAGCCTTTTTCTAACTCCAACATGACCTATCTTAAATAGAAAAGCAGACATAGATCCCTTTCCGTTACCACTGAGAAAGAAATTCACTTATTGAAGAAATTCACTTATTTTTTACTTATTTTTCTTCAACTCAAAGCTGGATAATGACTACTATTACTCAGATGGTATGTTGTTATCCTGAACTCACTTGCCACTTTTTTTCAATAAAACACCAAAATCTATAATGTGTTTGTTAACTGCTGAATCTCAGTACCTTAGAAAGTGCTGGCCATGCATACTACTCACTCAAAAGGCCCTATTTGGATTAAGCTGAATGAAATTAAAGTGTAGGCTATAAAAGATATATCTTTAAATTATTCTGTTTAGAAAAGTAAAGTACATTGGTATCTCGTATTAACTACAATGAAAGACTAATGACTATTATATCAGTCTATTACATATTTTGTATATGTCAAAGGGGAAGATTTAGTGTAAAAATATAACTGAATATATACAGATATATATATATGAAAAAATTTTATTATATATTTCACAAAAACTTAGGGTTGTGTAGTGCTCAGTAATTTGTAAAGCATTTTATATACATATCTATACATGTATGGACATAAACATTCATGATACAATTATACAGGTATTGTATATGACATTTCTATATTACATATTTTAAATAACATGCATATATACTGTATGAGGTACACATTAATATCCACTCTTTATTGATAATAAAACCAAAGTTCTAAGAAAGTGAATGTCATGTAAATGGAGATACAATATAAAAGTAAACTGAAGACTCTAAACTCCAAAGCAGGTGAAACTTCTACTTGCTTTCAGCTGGATACTTAGAAAGCAACAAATTTTTGCCTGAAATTATACCAACTGTGTTTTATAATCAACAGTGTCTTAACACCCCCACATTAGGACAAGATACATTGGCATTTGTAGATATGTGAAAAGACATCACTTGGCTGTCATCTCTGGGTGCTTGAGTTTTCATCTCTATAAAATTTTTACTATTAAACAGCATATAAACTAAGATTTACTGTTCATTCTTTATAAGGGCAATGCATAACACTCCAGACCAGTGAAACTGTGCTCCAGGGGTGTAGTAAGGGACAGCCCACATCTGTGCCAATGGAAAGGGGAAAGAGAATAGACACACGCATTCCTCAGCCTGCCAACACCATGCTCGCTGGCCACCTAAGCACTGAAGCTGGAGAAAGCAGCCCAGGCTTGTCTGCCTCCGTTTTCTAGGGCCAGCATTAGCACTGCACACAGTAGGCCATGCCTCACCTTGCTGTTTCCTTCCACTCCATCTCCTGCCCATCCACAGCCAGAAGCTCATCCAGCTCGGTGAAAAGTTGAGGGGGTGCTGGGCTGTCATCTTCCTCTCCCAAGATGAAGCGGATGCGTTCTGCTGCAGGAGAGACTGCAGAAGTGAAAATACTGTGGTTAAACACAGGCTGGACAACCCTGAGGAAAGTGTAGCTCCTGGCTCTTTCTCTTTCCACAAGGTTACTGGGCTTCCCATCCACATTTTCAAAGGACATCTTCTTGCTGAGACTTCCTTATCCCCAACCTAAAGCCAAAAGGACATAAATGCCTGTCTCTATTCCACTAGTCCAAACTTTAGCTCAATGTTCTTGCTCCTTCCACAAGGGCAGCACCCAGTCTGGGTGACATGTGATCAAGAACCTTGAGCCCTTGGATGAGCTGAAGTCTACTTGCACTACTCCCCTCCCTCCAGACAAATGACCTGTCCACAATATAAGGCATCAATCAACATGAACCAATTGCTTCTTAGTGTACAACAAGAAGGGCAACAGGGCACCCCAGTCTTGAGTTTTTCTTGGGTCTCCGCCTCCCATCCACCTTCTGTCCAATGTTTAAGCCCATTCTTTGCAGATTTTCACTGCTAGAATTTCACGAACCATGAAGCTGATGAAGGAATATTTAACAAGACAAACTCTTCTTTACATAATGGCAGTACCCAACAGCCTTTAGCCACACTTCAGTGCACTTGAAAAACAAGCCCAAGTAAAATATTGTACACCTGAGGGGGAAACCTTTCCAACACACTTAATCACATAATTGGATGCCCTACTAGCTCCATTTGACCCCGTCTCCTGAAAATCACATAATGAAAAATGAACTGAAATTTAGTTCACTTTTTGGGTTACTTTCTCTTTCTTCACAGAGAGAGAGAGAGAGAGAGAGAGAGAGAGAGAGAGAGAGAGAGAGAGAATGCACTTGGAAATTAAATTGATGGACTCTTTACAAAACCAAGACCCATGAAATCTTTATAATCCCTGGGTAAAACCAAGAATGGCACATATAGATGAATTTTATACAGAACATAATATAATTCTATAGATCAAAATTTATTTACTACAAATAAAGTCATGAAAAATAAGTTAATGACAATAAAAATTCTTTAAAAATATATTTACTTATATGGCAATAATGAAAAAGATGGAGGTAGGGAAGACAAGGAAAGAGGATGAAAACAGAATTAGCATGTATTACACACATGTACCAATTGCACACCAGGACTGTAGACACTACGTACTGCATACATGCAGTAACAAAAAATGTAAATGAAAACCAGAGTGATAATTCTCAATGTTTAGGAGTCATACAGTGGCAAGTCATGATGGGGCCCCTCAATGGGCCCTCTTTGCTCTAAAAGAAACTGAAGAAGGTATATATGAAAGTGCACCCTATACTTCTTTCACTAAAGATTCATTCATTCCCAACAGTTCTCAAATATTTTGCTATATAGTGATAAGTGCAACAGAGTTTATAATCAAGACAGAAAACTCCCAAATATGCAAAAGGAGGACCACTTAAATAAAGTATGCTACAAATACACAATAAAATATCATGCAGTCATAAGACATGAAGTTAAGATTGCGTTTCTTGACATTCTGTATCAAATTAAATGGAAAATAACACATATGTATATCCATAAAAAAAGCCTGGCACGAGTTCGATAGGTAGCGGGAGCAGAGAGCGGACCCCAGAGAGCCCTGAGCAGCCCCACCGCCGC